AAGGTCCCTTCCAACTCTTGATTATCTGTTATCTGTTTAATGGAGTTTACTCCCTTGATAGAGCTGGAATGGAGTGATTAAGCAGGTATTTCTCCCCCAAAATAGTTCTGCTTCTGAAGTAATCATTTCCAAATAGTGAATCATGACACTAATAGTAATTTAATCATTATTTGTAGGATGTCCTAAATACACAAAATATGAGTCTTTGACTGAACTGGAGTTGGTTTGACAATTTGGTGATTGATACCAATTGTTGGATCATAGTTGTTCTATAGTGTAATGCTTTGTATGCTGTGTGTGCATTGCATGTTTGCAATGTTATAATTGTCTCCTTTTATCATTCATTGATATTATAGTGCGGTTAGCTCTATATAAGGCTTTCTGTCAATGAGTGACTGGTAGGACAGAGCAAGGGAATTGCCAACAAAACCATTTAGCACGGATCAGTTTATGTGCTGATTTATCAGAGTTACTATTTTTGTAGTTCTTTAATGTACTTAGTTGAGATAAAATTCAGATGACCGAAACAACTAGGGTGAAGGAATAAGTACTCTGAAGTAGTGTTGGCCCAGAAGAGAGAATCTTTATCAGAAATGGCTGTAGACTGCCATGTATATAATTTCAACTATGTGAGGACAAAATGTTGAGAGATTAAAAAACATGTATGTGTACGCGCGTGCATGCATATGCACGGAACAGCAATCCAATTAGACTGTCCAGTGAAACTCTCTGATTTAGATACAAGGATTGTAGAAACTGGCTTGGCCAGTAGCTGGATCAAACAGCAGTGCTGAATATGTTGCTCTGTGTTTTGTAGTGACTCTTTAGAGTGATGTAATTGCTATAAGATCCTGAAGTCAGGTCCTTGCATGCTTCCAGATCGGATGCATTACCATGAGTTAATTTTTTCCAATTTTAAATCCTTTGGAAGGAGTGGTACTTCACTTACTCCCAGACTGGCAGATAACTCTGAAGTGACAAGAAACGGTTACCACTTCAGCACAGCTGAATATCCTTGCCCTTCTAGAAGAGTCTTTGATTGGTGTCTTTGAAGTGTTTATCAGCCTAAGGCTTGTTTGAGGTGAGAAACTTGTATCTCTTCCTACTTGTGCCTGATGACTGGTAGGGAAGGGACTAGTTGCAGAACCTAAGTAGTGGAGATACTTAGCTAGGTTGTCATTATACTGATTTTCTGTATAAGTGTAGGTCTGGGGCAAGGCAATCTTTTTGCATGTGTGGATGATGTAACCGGACCAGTGGGATTTAAAAAATAAAATAAGCATATTCAGTCTGTCAGATGTTTTCACGTTCTTAATTCAATTGTGTGTTTTTTCAGATACACAAAATGATTCAACCAAGTTTTTGATAACGTGGTTTGGCAACCTCTATGGGGAATTCAGAAAAGGGGCTAAAACAGGGATGGGTAACTAAGGCCCCTTTGCAACCTGTGGACTTCAACTCCCAGAATTTCTCAGCCAGCATGGAGTTGGTTCACAGGTTGTAAAGGGGGCATAGTATGTCATTATATTAATATTGCATCGTATGTCATTATATTAATATTATTTGTAGTAAAATCTCCCTTTCACATGCTTAGCATTTGCTGGCTAAGATTATGCCTTGCATAATAAACAACTCTTTGTATTACAAGAAGATAATATTATAATTGTATCTATAAAATCGCATTTGTTCCAATAAACCCTTAAATTAGTGAGGAAAGTTAGAAAAATCTGACTGAATTGTAAGTTCAAACTGAATGGGAAATAGAAGATTCTGCTCATGACAATATTTGTGTCACCATTATTGCGTGCTATTGCTGATGACAATAAGCAATAAACCCAGGCAAGAGAAAGATGGTCAGGCCAATCATTCTCTTGTTTTTAAAGTTCCTCCATGAAATGGTGCAAATGCAGCACCGTTTTAAAGATATTGTAACTGAGAAGTTGAGAGGAAGCTGGCGATTGTGATTTATTTACATAATACTATCAGTGGCTAAAGAGCTGTAGCTGGCTTTAGAGACTATGCTTTGCATAGAAAAAAACAACCATGTTCAATCCTCAAGAATTTGAAATTCAAAAAGAACCAGAATCAACCAGTATAGATGAGACTGAATTAGAGATTCCCGTTTCTCCACAAAACTACAATAACTGAACTAGTCCCAATGAATGAGGTTTATTTGTTTCAAAAAGTGTATGAGCTCCCCAGTAGCACTCAAGGGTGAATTCCACGAGAGAATAAAATCAATGCAAGTAAAAGAATAGTTAAAACAGGATCAGCTAAAATAGCAGGAAAATGTCACAGAAATAGAAAAGGCGTCATAATATTAAAAATGCAGCAGAAGTAAAACCGATTAAAAAAAACTTTGCCTAGCATGATAATGATAACAAAGGAAGTGCATTTTGATTTCTTGAAGTAGTCATGGTGATTAAACTCTCTCCCCACTTTGCATTCTTAAGCAGACTTGAGAATGTTTGATAAGTTAATTTATTGCAGAGAAATTAGGAATCCATACTAGAAGAAGCAGCTAAGAGCACCCTGGAATCTTGCCCTCTAGTTAGTTAGTCTCCAGGCTTGAATGTGGGTTTCTTCCCACCTTTTCAAGTCAAACAGCCATTGTATCTGCTTGATCCTGGTCTTGGAAGTTTCTAGCATCTGCCTCATGCTTGTAAAATGGGTTTTTAACAGTGTGAGAGTCAGAAATTCTTCCTCAGTAATTTCAGCTTTGAAACCAGGGATTGTCTCATGGGCCTGATACAAAAGTCTCCAGCGATTCACAAATTAATAAAATGTATCATGGTTTGTCATTATATAAATGTACCGATTTAAAAAAAAAAATATTGCAAAAACGAATCTGTTTTTTCAGCATGTCATTTTGGCCATTTATCTAGCCAAGGGGTTTTCTTAAACCAAAACAAATTTAAATATGAGTGTCTGTGAATCACATCATAAAACACTGAGCTGAATCATCTTGAAACTTCACAAAGAAATAAAAAGTATAGTAAAGTTGCTCTTCAATTTGGCACATGTCCCTTTCTCATAAGAGCATTCAGTAAATCAGTGGTGGGATTCAAATTTTTTTACTACCGATTCTGTGGGCGTGGCTTGGTGGGCGTGGCAGGGGAAGGACACTGTAAAATCTCCAGTCAGAGGTGGTATTTGCTGGTTCTCCGAACTACTCAAAATTTCCGCTACTGCTTCTCCAGAACAGGTCAGAACCTGCTGAATACCACCTCTGATTCAGTTCCTGAAAATTTAGCTCAAAATTTTATGGAAAGGAAATTTAAAGCATACATTCTGTCACAATGAAAATAAGCAAGTACTGTTTGGTATTTTCCAATTATAATTAAAGAGAAGGCAAAGATAAGAAGACCATTAGCAAAATGAGCTTATTGGGGGGGGGGGGGAGAGGCAGTTTGAGAAAGTTGCCCTATCTCGATCCTCTTGGGTTGAAGAGGGAGAGAAAAGGAAATACTGCAAGGCTTTAGAGATTGTGATACTATTTAGCCTAAATAAATAAAGGAGAGTTCCAGTATTTCTTGGAGAGGACATTTCCTGACTTGGCCAATCTAAAATGGCTGACAGGTGGAAAGTGGCCATCTTAGTGCAGAACCTGGAACCATCTCCGTTGGGATACACCAAGGAGGGAGTGGAACTTCGTGCCTCAAAGCTGTTCACTTGAGTGCAGCTCCAGGATGACCGACAATGGAGAGTCCAGAATGGAGAACCATGTGGAGGATTCTGAACCTTCACATCATCCCCAAATAGCCGAGCTCCCTTGGCAAACTGCAAGAACACATCCTTATTCCTGCCACTCAGTTGGGGATGGTGTTTTACCTTTCTTCGCATCAGGAAGTAATGCTTTTCTCCTGGCCAGGTTTGCTAAGAGGCATTGCCACCACTGCTGCCTCCTGCCTAGGCCCTCCTTTCTAAAGAGGCCATCCTAAGTAACGGTTGTAGGGTGCAAGGAGGCCCTGAGGAAAGTCAGCCTCTCCTTGATTACTATCTTGATTCCCCTGACCAATGCAGGTGGAGGGGAACCTACACATGCTTGTTAGCAATAGAGGAGGCTTGGAGAAAGGAGAAAAATATCGGAGGAAAGATAAAGTTGTTTCTTAAGGCTGTATGGGCCAGATTAAAGCCCCACAAGGTCCCGTCCTTGCTTACAAAAAAAAAGGCAAGTTCATATGTTGTCACAATATGTATTCTAATTCTGATTGTCTTGCTGTTTGTTGTTTGTTGATACGATTATGGAATAACATGAAGTAATTGGAGGCCCAGTTTGGACTGCAGTTCTAAACTTATTTATTCACTGATAAAATCGAATATTTGCATAAGATCAGGATGCTTGTCAAAAATGTACGCACCATCGTACAGTTTATCAAGAGAAGTGAATTTTATTGAGTTGTGCTACATTTTGATTGAATCCTGTGACCTTTCCATGGAGAATAATCTCTATTCTATTGCCATCTATTGAACAAGTTCTGAACCTTACTCAAGCAGCCCCCTAGGTTAAACAAGAGGATCTGTTCCAGGAACTAGTGCTTAAGCTGATTTTTCACATATCTCAGATTGCTTGCCAAGTACGGGCATGAAAATAGTAGCTGCTATTTTTGTGTCTCTTTGCATAAAGTTGGAAGAGCATAAATCATGACTTACAGAATCTGAGCTCTGCCTGCAATAGGTTGCTGCATCCTGTCCGTTACTTTTATAGAATACGCTGAAAGTTTTTAGAATACATTTAGAATGACATTTGAATAAAAGTAGCCCCTGTTGAAAAAAAGGTATTTTCTGTGCTTGAGCTTATCTCAGAAGAAAAAAAGAGAGAAGGAAATGAATGTTAATGCGCTATTCAGTCAGAAAGAAGAAAAAGGCCAACTTTATAAATGAAAGATAACTTTGAAAGGGAGTTAAAAATAAAGGCCTGACCTTGGATAATTTTTCCTGCACATTTGGTTTCTTTATATATTCTATCCATCATTTTGTTAATAATCTTCTCTTTGCAGGGATCAGCAGATTCATACACAAGCAGACCATCAGATTCTGATGTATCTCTGGAAGAGGACAGGGAAGCCATCCGCCAAGAGAGAGAACAGCAAGCAGCTATCCAGCTTGAAAGAGCAAAGGTATCTCCCTCCCTCTCATTTGTTCCTCTTCTGTCCTTCCTTTTATTTATTTACTATCCCTCCCCCCCCCCCACACACAATTTTTAGATTTCAAGAGGGAGAAAAAAATATGCCATGGGGAAATCCAGCCATAGCTTCAGTAATTTTCTGGAGTGGGATGAGTAGGGTATTTTTCAGCATAAGTATCTTTTAAATAAATGATTTTGTGATACTGTCTATCTTTCCTCCATCTGTATGTATTTGTGAACAGGTTTTATAATAAAAAGGTTCCCGGAAATCACACTATCTTCTGTCTGCCCTGTAAGATAGATCAGGCCAAGAAATCAATGACATTTATATGTCTAAAACTACTTGGGAACAGTTATAGTAACAGAATCTTGCAAATCCGAATGTGCTTCTATCTCTTTCCCATTATCTTCATGTCAAGTAGGAAATGGCTTATCTGAGGTGTTTTCTCAAATTAGTTTCTTGGAATAGACTCAAACGAGGCTTGTCTGACTGTTGCCTTTGTAGGGCTGTTTCTCCTGACCTTCAAGGCCATTCCATGTGCCTCATATATCTTCTGTTATATCACACATTACCCTAAAGTCTTCTAACTTAATAATCTAGCTGCTGAAATTGAGTGGAGAGGTGTTTTTTGTTTGTTAAAACAAGCATTCCTCAGATATCTCATATTTAAAAGTAAGAATTTTCATGTTCTTCATGAAAATTCTTAAGATTTGCCCAACTTCCCCAAAGATTAGTTCAGTCGCCAGAAGATTTCTTGCTCTACTTCTCTAACATTTGTGCAACACTCATTGCTCTCTTTACAGAATGTTCTTGGTATTGTTGTTAGATGTTCTCTGTTCATACATATATACGGACTCTCATGTGTAGGTGGTTACATTTAAGAGCCAAGATTATTTTTTTTACTCACATGAGGTAAACGGAGAGCAGATTGAGGCAATGATGCTTCACTAATCTGGGAAATAGCTATATATAACTCACAAAGGCACTTTCATTTGCCCAACTCTTTCTCAGAGGATGGGCATTAAAGTATTATTAAGCTTTAGTATATATGTTTGCAAGAATTGTGAAAGCATTAGCTGGAAAATGTATTAAGGTGGAAAATGTTTTATAAGAGCAACATTGGAGTTGGGCAGCTAAGAAAAAAAGGACTATTTTCAGTGAAAAGTGGAAAATGTTTGGTGAGTTGGATAGAATTAGATATTGTGGGTGGGTTCCTGTAAATGACTGCTGACGGGAAAGCATTGCTCATCTATAAACGGATTGGAAGGAGCACATTAAAAGCAGATTATCTCCTTTGAGTCAAGCTCAGTTCCTGGTGACTTATAAAGACACGTTCTGGGCAACAATATAATTAAAGATTGCCACAGTCTTCTTCCAGAAAGTGTGTGTGTGTATGTGTGTGTGTTGGCCTGTAATCCATATTCATTTACCTTTGTATTGTCTTCAGCAAGCAGACATGCTTGCAAATAAAGTACTGATTAGCAGCTGCCCATCATTTCCAATGTCTAAAGAAAGTTATGGCACCAATTTGAAAATAAAGATAATGCTTTTCAATTTGCTTTTCAATTCAGTCCAAGCCAGTTTCCAATTTTCAAAGCTAATCAATCTGCCCTTCAAAATGTCTGTGGGTATATTGGTAGCATATCTTGTTGTTGTGTTTGGGGAGCTCAGTTTTGAAGAGTACAGTCATAGCAGACAGCAAGCAAGACGTGAAAAGAAAAACACAAAATAATGGAATAATGGAATGTGCGGAAATGAGTAGACTTACAATGGCAATTAGAGAACAGGAGGAAAAAGACTATTATAATATTTGGGATTTATTTTATGAAAGGTTAGATAGAAGAATAAGAAACTGAAATATGTGATAATAGTAATAACATATTATAATTGATTAATATTGAATGAGTAAGAGAATGAATATAATTTAGCAAGAATGTTCAATAATATGATATAAAATATTGTTTAGAATGGTTTATAAAGATAATTAAGTAAGAAATGTACAATCACATTACTATGCGCACATGATATATGTACCCAACCAACACACTGTAAAATTGAAAGATGGTTTTATTTGTTGTCTTTATTGTTAAAAAAAAAACCTTCTCCAAAATAGAAGAAAAAAAGAAAAACACATGTCCCAGCTGAAAAATAGTTGGAGCCCTTCAGACAAAAACGACAGTGTTTATCCTGAGCTGTGAAAATTTATGGCAATGTGGAACTATTTATTCATTTGTTTTAATCAATTTATATGGCTGCTCATCTTGCAATAGCAGCTCTTGATGGTTCTAATAAAAGACAAGCTGTTATAGAGTAAGGAAGGTAATTTGTTCAATTTGGAGCTGCAGCGAATTTCTTGACTTTCTTAAGGAGGATATTCATGTTTCCCTGTTGGGCTTTTCCCCAACACTGGATTCTGTAACACAGCATCTTTTCAGATGGATAGATGCTCTAATAGATTGGCATTTGTCAGATATAAAGTCCACATAAAGAATTGTTTCCTCAGACTAATTAATAGAGGAATGTGCATGATTCTCTTTCATTTAAACAACAATTAATTAACTGAACCAGAACAGTCATAATCTTTTACTCCTAGCAATTGCTAGTAATTCTGATTGGGTAGCATTTTTCAGAACAAAATGCGAATTTGGAGCTAAACTGTTGAAGAGTAATTAAAAAAAAATAAGCAGGGAAGGCATAAAAAGGCATGTCATCCAGCATATCTGAAACTATAATATTTACTGAGATATGTAAGGGAAACCAAGTTACTAATATGCAAATGAAAAATCACCAAATTGTAATTTTGCAATTT